TCGACGACACTTGTAGAAACTAAAACCCGGACTATAGTGTCTCTTCCAAACGGTAAACATACAACTGGTAGTCGATGGGTTTTTAAAACCAAATTCAACTCGATGGTTCTATTGATCGTCATAAGGCATGTCTTGTGGCTCGGGGTTTTTCTCAACGAGTTTGGTGTTGACTACAAGGAGATTTTTGCTCCAGTTGCCAAGATGACTACTCGTTAGAGTTCTTTTGTTCGTTGCTATCAATAATGGGTGTTCCTTATCTCAAATGAACATAAAAAATGCATTTTTTCACGATGATCTTGAAGAAGAAGTACTCATGAAGCTTCCTCCCGGCCATCCTTAAAGTGGTGATTCTAAACTCGGTTTGTAAACTTCATAAACCCATTTATGGATTGAAGCAAAGTCCCGGTGCATGGCATGCAAAGTTGAGTTCCGCTCTTGAAGTTCTTGGTTTTTCAAGGAGTTCTGCTGATTCTTCATTATATGTCCAACTAGGAAAGGTTGACAAACTAATGGTGTTTATTTATGTTGATGATCTTATTATCACTCGGGAATAATTTTGATTTGATTGCTCGACTGAAGAAGAACCTCCAAGCATCAATTTCTTATTAAGGACCTTGGTTCCTTAAAGTATTTCTTGGTATTGAAATGGCAACTTCCAACGAAAGGGCTCTTTCTTAATCAACGCAAATATATTTTGGATTTGCTTCAAGACAATGGTATGCTATATATTAAATCTTCCGCTACTCCTCTAGATAGTAAATTGAAGCTTGATTTAACGAGAGAAGATCTTGATTCACCAAGTTATTATCGAAACTTGTGGGAAAGCTTATCTATTTAACTATCACGCGGCTTGACATCTCTTTTACTCGTGAGTCTTGTCGATCAACATATGCATGCACCAACTGTTCATCATTTGTGTATGGTGAAACGTATCTTACGATACTTGAAGGGAACAATGGGCCGTGGGATAATATTGACCAAAAACGGACACACTAACATTATGGGGTATACCGATTCAGATTGGGCTGGGAATACTCTTAATCGTTGATCTACTATCGGTTACCGTGTATTTGTTGATGGTAATTTAGTCTCATGGAAAAGCAAAAAATAGCATGTAGTAGCTCGTTCAAGTACGTAAGTCGAGTATCATGCTATGGCCACGACTACTTGTGAATTTCTATGGCTTAAAGGTCTTTTTGAAGATCCGGGTTGCCCATGTGTTACTCCAATCACACTTTTTTGTGATAATCGGTCGCCATGCATGTCGCGGCCACTCCCGTGTTTCATGAGAGGACAAAACACATTGAAGTAGATTGTCACTACGGTCGTCGGTAAGTTTAATCTAAGCTTATCAATACTCATTATGTGCGAAGTAGTGACCAACTTGCGGATGTGTTCACCAAGGTTCACGCATTCCGCACGCTTCACCGACTCTCGAGCAAGCTTGGATCCATCAATCCTCCGGATCCCGCTCGAGGGGTGTATTGGAAGATATGTTTCCTATATATGAGTCTGTCTAGTTATTTGTTTCCTAGTTTATGTATAAACAAAGTTTAGGAATTCGAGTTGTATATGCATATACCTAGGCTATATTTACATGATTGTAGTGATCTCAAGAGAGACCAACTCCTATATATACTTGTATCCTATATATGATTAATATAATAAAAAGGATTGTATTTCTTCATCAAAAGACTTTCTTTTTCTTTAAGTACAATTATAGAATAATTAGTTAAGTTAGTAAGTGATAAGATAAATTATTATGATATAATAAATTAATAAAAATATTGAATAGTTTATAACTTAAAAGCATTGTAATTATCTTACAATACATTCAAGACAGAATTTGTTTTTAACATATTAATTGACAATTTAATTTCATCAGCCAAATATGGATTCAGAAAAATGAATTCATACGATAATTTACTTTTCTTTCTCTTTTGTAATAAAAGTAGAGTAAAGCTAACGAGTGTTTACACCCGCTAATGAATCATTAAAAAGGTATTAATTAACCCATTGTCAACGGAGAGAAAAATTTTCAATTAATGGATTTTAGTTTAGATAAGCTAAACATTTATAACGATCAATCCAAACTTAAAATGACCAGTATCACTTTCGTATATAATGCTTAAATGATGACAATTATAAATGACAAACTTAAGAAACAGTTGCCACGAACTAAAAAGAAAATAGTAATTTTTTTTGGTTTGATTTTTTGGCAGAGTACGTGTCTCCTGTGTACATGGTGGCTATAATGAAACTTAGAGTTTCGATAGAGGTTCATCCTAAAAAAATTTATAATACTCAAAGAATAATTAGTGAATATATATAGAAGTTATTTTATAAAGAGAGATAGATATAAAAAAGAAAAAGAAACAAAAAAGAGAAAAAAAATTGAGCTAGAATAGTAATTTTTTAATCATATTTTATGAATTTAAATGTAATTTTTTTTTTGTGTATCTATCTCTCTACTAAAAAATAAATTCACAAAAAATAATTACTATACACTTTCATTAATTATTCTTTAAATATTATAAAATTTTTAATCCGACACCAACTTTTCCCGGATTACATCGTAGAGACAAGGCGAGTATTACCCATCAGCGTTAATTCTTGGCATTTCCTTTTAATCTTTTAGAAAGCGACAATATGGCATTTGGAATCCATGCACTCTATCAATTTTTTCTATTTAAATATTGATAGTGACTTTTTTATTGAAATATTTGTATTCATAAATTTTGATCAATTAAGTATTTTTTATAATTTTTTTCCTGATTTCTAATATGACGCACAAGTGAACCCAAATTGATTTTATTTTATTATTATTATTTGGTTATATACGTAAGCAAACCTGAAAATAATAATAATAAATAAAGAAACGTAATTAAACTAAATTAAAAACATCTACAGTATTGTTGCTGGGGTGTCTTTCAATCTTTTCACTTAACCCATCTCTTTAAAACCTAGACACCCAACTACCCTCAACATGCTTGAGAGAGAGAGAGCTGAATCGTGAGAGAGATCTCTTTGTCCCTCTACCCTTTCTTGATTTGAGTATAGAGAAAACTTCAACCAGACATTTTTATTTGTTAAAAAGAAAAAGGACGAGAAATCCGGGTGAAATTGGCAATATCGATAGACTTGAAAAGAAGTTGTTGGATTGTAGCACAATTAGCAGGAAAGCTCCTTCAACCCGGTTAGGCTAGATAGTTGGATATCTAGATATACGATTTATATATCGTTAAGTTTCTCAAAATTTTTTAATTTTTTCTTTTTTTGTAGAATTAAGAAGCTAATGGATGTTAAATAAATTATTTATGTTTGAATATTAAATGACATTATTATCTTTAATTTAGTTAAAGTAGAGAAGACGAAGTGACAAATAATATAGAAATATTTTTTATTTGCTAAAATTAATACTAAGATTATATTTCTAAAAATTCACGACATTATATAATGGATTGGTCTAGTTCATGATCTCGATTGCAATTGGTGTGAAATATAAGTCCCATCATTTGGATTTTGGATCTTAACCGATATATTTTTGTCAATCTTTTAGGGTTAATCCAGACACAGAACAATTTCTTTGTCTGATTTTTTTTGGGTATTCAGGGATCAAGAAGATCTCTTTGTGGGGTTCCACTTGTACTGCTGAGATATTTCGTATCGCCCATACCAAATGTTACAAATTGTTGAATAGGATAAATAACTAAAATTATTATGTAAATGTCCCCTTAAAGTGTGAATGGTTAAATTAAGTCCAATCTTCACCCATTCACCAAGCCATAAATAACATGCCCACGTTCAAGGTCAACAAGATGGAGCACTGACACCATGATTTGCAAGGATCAAAGAAATTTATAAAATATAGGAAAGGAACCAATAAGAAAGCAAGAATGGCAAGTCAAAGCACACCTTACGCTTACAGAAAGAAGTGCTTTAATGCTCTTTGAAGATTTATAAATGTTTTTTGAAGCATGATGATCTTTTGCCTACGACAGTGATACACACACACAAGTCCTTTCCCCTTTAGCTTCTCCCACTTTGTTTCCACAATTGCCTTCCCATAAGATTTAAAGAGACCAGGGTGGATTTTCATCAGAGTCTAGCGGAAAAAGATTTACAAGGTAAACTACCATCTACTTCTGCAGTTTTATCAACATTTTGACAAAAGATTATTTGAATACGTTACTAATGTTAAAGCCAGATCATCGAAATAAAAAATAATGTGGGCATGATTTAAACACATTTTAAAAACAACAAACTTAACTATATATTACTATTATTATTATTATTTTTGCCCCTGACAGGAGATAATCCAAAGAACACGTGAAATACAAAAACAGTATTGTCTTCTAATTATGTCTGAAAGCTCTTTCTTGGGAATCAAAACAAAAGGTGATTTATAGAAAGAGGAAGGAAAGTTAAAATTAGGAGAAAAATACTGTGAAGATATTTAATCATGCAAAATCATGAATAGTGAATTAGCAGTCACCTCACATGGTAACCCAAGATGACATAATTAATTTGACTCACCCCCATGATGACTCAAGCTTCTAAATGTTCTGAATTTGACTCTTCCATATATTTGATGCCGAAACTCTTTCGTGTTTTCTCTTGTAATATCTAAAAGTCCTAGAATCTATTCTAGTACTAGTAATGAAGACATAATTGCATCTTCTTTGTCCCTTCACTTGTTGCTGCTCACAGAAATTAGTCTTGTCAATGCTTTTTTCACATGTGAATATTACCTTTAAAGCCATTTTGTACGCCAATTAGCTAATACTTCAAGTTCTTGTCTCCTGTGTGTTCTCACCTCTTTCTTTTACAGGCTTCATTATATCCAGTAAGAGTACTATGCTTTTTTCTATCATGTTTTTATGTATTTCTTTTTCTTGTTTTGTTGAAGGCATTAGATGGATGTAAAGTTTGTACTTTCTGATGTTTTTGCAGCTTTTGGAGGGAAGAGACTCTTAGGATTGTGATTGGAAGCATAGAAAATGTTGCAGAGGACTCTTTGTGTAGTTGTAGTATTGATTCTAGGACTAGTTAGAGCTAATTTGTACGCTGTGGAGGGAAAACCACATCGGATTCTTTTGGATACAGATGTTGATACTGATGATTTCTTTGCTCTTCTGTACCTCTTGAAGCTTAACAGATCAGAATTTGAATTAGAGGTGAGTCTTTTTGCTTTTCTTATATGTATACATTCGTTTTCCAGCTTTGGCTCTATTGCTTAGAAGTCAAGCTGCATATGATCAATGGCAAAGTTGCTAGTTCAGAGTTCAGTTTTTCCTTGATCCAAGAATCATTAAATAGTTTCTTTTCTTTGAACATCAGAATCATTAAATAGCTGTATCAGAAAATTAAATCTTTTCATTTTCTGAAATGGCCAAGTAGTCGAAGTAGTGTTTAACCCTTAATCTCAGAGGAGCAAATCAACTAAGCTAGGTCATTTGAATGCTGAAAATATGACTTCAGAGTTTAGTTTCCTTGAATTGCTGTCCGAAGCTAATCGAACATAGTACAATGTAGCTTTTAATTACAATGCAGTTTCTGATATTTCTTGACAAAAAAATGAGCCTTTGGACAGCCTGCATATATATATATATTTCTCTCTTTTTTTTTTGAAAAAAAAAAAAGATTTCAGCACGCTCCAGGTATATCGATGTTCATAAATACTTGATAACACTGGCAGTTATTGCCTTGGTTCAGGCAGTCACTATCAACACAAACGCATGGACTGATGCAGGGCATGCCGTGAACCAAATCTACGACATTCTTTACATGATGGGTCGTGACGATATATCGGTTGGAATGGGAGGTGAGGATGGAATAACAGAAGAAGGTCACATACTTCCAGATGTTGGTGGCTATCTTCCAATTGTTGAACAGGTGCATTAAAGAACACTCTTCTGCATTTAAAATTGAACCCTTTTCATTGGGTCAAGTTGTACTTTCACGACAACTTTGATAACATTGGGAAGTGAACTTCAAGCAAATTTATTTGCATTTGCTAACCTTTCATTTTCGGTGATTATAATGAACATGCTGCTGATATGTAAGGTTCCATATCAGGGAAATACAACTGCAGGAGGTTGTAGATACAGACAAGCTATTCCTGTAGGTCTTGGAGGACGACTAGATATTGATAATAACTATGGCATAAGGAAAGCGTTCCTGCCTCAGGTACAAATTTGGTTGAGTTGCTTGTAGTTTTCAACTGCAATTTTAGCAAGATTATTCACTTTGTTATATTCTTTATGAGTTGAATTAGTTGATATATATATATACATTTGAAGATCTGATCTTCACTCTTTCTCCCAATAACATTATATTCATTCATGTCTGACACATTTGTTCATAAACCAGGGCAGCAGGAAATATTCTCCTCTTCGACAGCCTACTACCCAACAAGTGCTGATGGAAAAAATACGTGCAGGTCCCATTACCATTTTCATGATAGGAGCTCATACAAATATTGGCATTTTTCTTATGAAAAATCCGCATCTAAAGAAGAATATCGAGCACATATATGTGATGGGCGGTGGTGTGAGGTCTAGAAATCCAACTGGTTGTTGCCCCAAAAATGCAAGTTCATCATGCCAGCCAAGACAGTGCGGTGACCCTGGCAATCTGTTCACTGACTACAATAGCAACCCTTATGCTGAATTCAATGTCTTTGCTGATCCTTTTGCTGCGTACCAGGTAAACCAAGAACAGACTTTGGATCCATTTTAAATACAAATTAAGAATGGCTGCATGTTATAGTGACGCATTTGCTTTTAATTCAGGTGTTTCATTCTGGAATTCCAGTCACCCTTGTGCCCCTTGATGCAACAAATACCATTCCTATAAATGAGAATTTCTTTGAGGCATTTGAGCAGAACCAGCACACATATGAGGCACAATACTGCTTCCAGTCCTTGAAAATGGCTCGCGACACTTGGTTTGACGACGAATTTTATACAGTAATGCTTGTTTCAGGAATTTTTATCAATCGAAACCTCATATGAAATGCCACATATATTTATGTATCTTTTCATGCAGCAAGGGAGAATTAAAAATCTTATGATCATAATATTAGTACATCTTTTGCAGAGCTATTTCATGTGGGACTCCTTTATGTCTGGTGTAGCGGTTTCTATCATGCGTAATTTGCATAACCATAATAGAGAAAATGAATTTGCTGAAATGGAGTACATGAACATAACTGTGGTGACTTCAAATGAACCTTATGGGAGAAATGAAGGCTCGAATCCACTCTTCTATGGCCGTAAAGTTCCGAAGTTTAATCTAAAGAGAGGTGGAGTGCACAGTGGTCATGTTCAGACTGGTCTTCGAGATCCATTTTGCTTTGTGCAGAATGGGAAAGGAAGATGCAAGGTTAATCACTTTCTTTGGTGGAAACACACCAGCCAACTTATGTATTTAAAAGAACTTCTCTCATTCTTTTTCAGCTTACCCACCAAAGGTTTTGCTTGTTTTCTTCAATCCAATAGGCTTTGGCATAAGGAAAATCAATTCCTGTCGCTTCTTTAGTTAATTATATTCGATCCTTTACATGTTCATGGGCCCTTTATTGAAATATAATGAGACAGGATGGCTACACTGCTGAGGTAACTGGTTCAGAAGCAGTTCGTGTTCTTGTTGCTACAAGAGCGAAGCCTAATCCGGACAGGAATAGCATCCTTGACAGAGCGTACTTCAAGAGCTTTTTGGATGTAAGTTCTTTCAAGCATTGTAAAATTCTTGATTCTAAGACTTGAATCTGACGTTATCTCTTTAGAGATCCTGCAATGACATACTAACAAACGTTTTTGTGTATACAGGTTCTTAATCACCCTCGTCAAACTGGAAAGTTCAATTTTACTACACAATTTCCCCATTATAAGCAAGTCCTCTACAAACCAGACTTTGGAACCAGAAGACTAGGGAAACCTCTTGTCTTCGATATGGATATGAGTGCAGGAGATTTTCTAGCTTTATTCTATCTCCTCAAAGTGCCTGTAGAAATAATCAACCTCAAGGTGAGTGATTTCAATTTTCCAGATTCTTTATGGCAGGCATAGACCATTAGTTTTGCAACAGGCAAGTTCAAACAAAATGTATCAGCCGCATAAACTTCAACTCTGGTTGCCATTTTTTTCAGGCGATAATTGTCACTCCAACAGGCTGGGCAAATGCCGCAACAATAGATGTTGTTTATGATTTATTGCACATGATGGGTCGTGATGACATCCCAGTTGGTCTAGGAGATGTATTTGCAATAAACCAGTCTGATCCAATTTTCTCTGCTGTTGGAGGCTGCAAGTACCTTAAGGCCATCCCCCAAGGAAGTGGTGGACTTTTGGATTCAGACACTCTCTATGGACTTGCTCGTGATTTACCCCGAAGCCCTAGAAGGTACACTTTCACTCAATGGATGTTTCCACCTATTCTGTTTTTACCTTAGTTTAGGACTCAAAATGCTGTTTTTTAATACCCTTTCTTCTCAAGATATACTGCAGAAAACTCTGTTAAATTCGGAGCTCCTCGCGACACCGGTCACCCGGAGCTCAGACAGCCTCTAGCACTGGAAATCTGGGAGTCCACTGTAAGAACATTGGATCCAGGATCTAAGATTACCATATTGACTAATGGCCCCTTGACTAGTTTAGCCAAGATAATACAGAGGGAGAAAAATGCAAGCTCCATCATTCAGGTCAGTGGACTCATCCACCATTGCCATGTTAAATAAATTGCAACTAATGCTGTGCCCAGAGTGGTAGCACACATTCTTCTGATATTTCAAATGTCATTGCAGGATTTGTATGTTGTTGGAGGACATATCAGCCGTAGTGATACCGATAAAGGAAATGTCTTGACTGTTGATTCTAATGAATATACAGAACTGAATATGTTTCTTGACCCCTTGGCCGCTAAGACGGTTTTTGAGTCTTCACTTGACATAACGCTCATTCCACTCGGCATCCAACGCACAGTCAGTACCTTTTCTAAGATCCTAAAAAGTTTAGGCAAGACGAAAACAACACCTGAGGCTTTGTTTGTGCAGCGTTTGGTATCAAGGCTTTACCGCCTGAAAGAAACTCATTATAGATATCATCATATGGTAAGGATTCTAATCTTAGCCTTAAGTACTAGAAGAAAAGTACCATTATTTGGGTTACTGTTTTTGACTGACTGATAAGAATTAGCATTTTATTTCATAGATAGTAATCGGGATCATTTCATAGACTTTCTGAACTTTTAAGAGCTTAAATTTGTTAGCTAAGAGACTCTAGTTTGATAGTATGCTTGATCCTTCTTTTAACGGAGAATCTTTAGCTGCTAATACTGAATGAGATCACATTGCAGGATACATTCTTGGGCGAAATCCTTGGTGCAGTAGTCTTGGCTGGTGATCATTCCAAGCTTGACCCAACCTTCCTAGCCAAACCCATCATGGTTCTTGCTGAAGGCGATGTATCGAAAGATGGACAAGTTGTAATTGATGAAAAACAGGGAAAATTTGTCAAAATATTGGAGAATGTAGACCCTGAAGCACATTATAATCTTTTCGCAAAGCAACTCTGCATTAAGAAGCAATCTGCTGTCGTTGGAAGCTTTGATGAGCAGAGAAGAATTTGGAGCGTGCCAAGGAATTGAATTGAGGATACCCTTCTTGAGACATTGGGCTAATTATTCCCTGCAAGCAGGAAGTGATTTTTCTTCTTCTTCTTTTGTATTCTATACTCTTCTCGGTAGAGGATTTTACGGGACCAATATTCCATTAAAAAAAAGAAAAAAAAAAACTAGCTCACAGAAAGAAAAACAAAGGGGAGCATATATAGGGAAACAGTGGAAATATAAATCGAAAAATTTGGTGCTTTCTTTTGTTGGAGCAAAAATGTTTGTAAACCTATGCTTTCTATTTTATCAAGTTAGAATGGAAAAAGATATTAATTTTTTTTCCAGAAAATAAAAAGTTCGGGCCGGAAATGATTTAGAAATAACAAATTAATGTTTTTTTTTTAATACAATTCCAAAAAATATTAAGAAATTAAAAAAATTCTGACAATACTCGGTCATTAGATTTATTTTTTAAATTGCTTAATAAATTAAGGGATATATATTTTTTTTTTTGACAAAAAACTTAAACTTTTGAAACGTTTGAGTAAAACAATTGGAAATGCTTACATAAAAAATTTCAAAAATCTCATTCATTAATTTTTTTTTAATAAGTTTAAGAAATTTTTGAAAAAAAATTCAGAAAATTTTATTATCTTGAACAATATGTAAGCAAAAAATTTCTAAAAAAATAAATTTTAATCCATGAAATATTTTTTAAATGAAAATACTTAGCCATTTTTTTCAATAAAAATTTCAAGAAATAAAAAATGATTTAAAATTTTGGAAAAAAAATCATTTTGTTTATTTCATGAACATTTTTTATGGATGAGCATTTTGCAAAATATTTTTTAAAAAATGGATTTTTTTTCTTAACATTATTGAAAGTTTATTTTTGTTGAAAAATGGTAGTTTCTTTTTTAATTTTTTTAAATGATTGAGTAGTTTTGAAGTTTTTTTATTTATTAAAATATTTTAAAGTTTTCTTTCAAAAATAATAGTGCTTTTTTTTTATTCCACAAACTTTTTTTGGAAATTTTAATTGGTATTCATCTTATAATTTAATGGATTTTAGTCTAATTAGATTGAAATTACTAAATTCTGCAAATAAGAGGTAAATTTTGACCTAATCTTTTTTATATAAGCTAAATTTTTGAATAATACGAACGCAGTGACGATTATCATGATGTTTTTTCAAGTTAGAATTATCAAACCTATAAATATAAATCTGGAAACTCTATATTTTAAATTTAAAAATAAAGATTTTGATCAATGTCTTTGAATTTTTTTTAATGAACTTTCAATTGCCAGGAAGCAAGGTAACGTCCTCTAGTCAAGAAGTAACTTTAATTTTTTTAAAAAATTATTTCATATCATATACGTGTGAGCACCAAAGAACCTGTGTCCATTATTTGTAGATATATATGTAGTGACAAAACTAGATTTTTATGTGAAAAATTTTCAAAAATACATAGTTGGTAATTAATTTTTGACTATATGTTTTTTTTTTTTTTTTTTTTTTTTTTTTTTTTTTTTAAATCTGAAGTATAGAAAGGAAAACACTTGAATTAATGTGTTTAAGTTGCGTGTTATATTTTATTCAAACAAAATCAATCAAATGGTAGCGTACGGCGGCTATCGTATCCATAGATATAACTAGCCAACATCCCGCCCATGGGCCGGTGGTCCGATTTTTTTTTCATACATAGTATTTGTTGTTGGTTCAGCATGTTTTTTTATTTTTTATTTTGTTAACATAGTTATTATTTTTTTATTATTTTTTTTTTTGGTATACTTGTTCGTAAGGACTAATCATGATAGTAGCATTTATTATATTTAAAGCGCTAACAATTACAAACGTTTTATTTTTTTAAATGACAGTGCATGTAAAATATTGTGATTCATTGTATTATTTGGGTTTAAGATGTTATATTTTTTTGAGAGTTTTGCAATCTATTGGGTTTTTTTTTTTTTTTTTTTAATGGCATAATTTATCCTAAACTATTAAGGTTGTGATAAAATAAAATCTACATTATCAATTTGACTATTTGTATTTTAAATTATTAATTTTTTGAGCAAATTTTATCTTTTTTCGTTATAACTTACGAGTCAAAGTATTGATTGTTAATTGAAACGTTTGAAAAGACATAGCTTTAAGCATTTTAATTTTTTTAAGAATCAAAATTAATTTAAAAAAAATATTTAATAATTTTTTTTACTAGATGGAGCCATTAGATATTAATGTCCAACAACGAAAGTCAAATACATAAACAACAAAATCATCTAAACTTCCTTAAAACTAACTATTATATATATATAATTTTAATTAAAATATTAAAATGCTGAAAATACCGTTGTTTTAAACATTTCAGTTAATGATCAACACTTTGACCGTTATAGATAATAAAAAAAGATTTATTCAAAAATTAATCGTTCCGGATCTAAATAATCCAAATTCATAGTATATGCCTTATTTTACTCCAATCCTAGTAATTTAAGGGTAAATTATGTTATTAAACTATTTATTTTTTCAACAATCTCTTAAATATTTCTACAATAAGATCATATGATAGTTTTTGAAATTTATCTTGAGGATTTGTGTTATATTTTTTTTTATGTGTTTGTTTTGATGAGGTAGTGTTTTTTTTTTTTTTTTTTTTTTTTTTTTTTTTCATTATGTGTGGTTGGGGTTTTTGTTTTTGCTTTTTTTTTTTTTTTTTGATTTCCGAAGAGTATAAAGATTTTTCTGTTTGGATGATTTAGTGTTTTATTTTTAAAGTTTTTTTTTATGTAGTTTTTTAGATTAGGTTTCTCGAATCTTAATTATGGTTGTATAGATTTTTTTTTATATGTTATATGTATTTTGTTGTTTGCAATTATTATTGTTATTAGATCTACATGCATTTTTCCTTTAATATTTATGCTTAAATTGGTCATGCAATCTTTTGGCAATTAATATGTTTCTTTTTTTGCTTTGTTTTTTTGTTTTTTTTTTGGTTCATTAAATTTAAAATTATGGTTTTAAGAAAATATGACTCGGTTATGTTTCAAATATCACCATTAGTTTTAAATTGAATGATATGGATTATGTGAGAGAAATAAAATAATAAAAAGTTAAGTTGTTTCTAATTTTTTTTATCCCATACACTATGTTATGACCATTCATTTTGAATTCAATTATATCAAATGGACAATGATTCAATTAAATGAACATGACTAATAAGTTGTTGGCCTAGTAGTAGGTGAGCTGATTTTTAGACAAATTTTTTGTTTATGTGCACGAGTTCGATCCTAAAGTCACATTTCTTAAAAGGGATTAAAATTTATCACTTTTATCTCGAATATTATTAGTCTTATCTCCAATATAGAATATTAGTCTTATCTCCAATATAGAATGAAGATACCTAGAGAAAACAAAAAATAAATAGATAAATAAACGAACACGTATGACACTTATGTTTCTTTATATATATAAAAGGATCCCAATCCTATATACAGTACTAATCTCTTGTCTTTTGTTTATGATTATTCAAAGAGTGAGATGGATTCATGTAACGGTTTGTAGTTACTGCTGTTTATGCATGTAGTTTTTGGGGAATAGAATTTGAGGAATATTTTGTGATTGAAAATGTTGCAAAAGATTATGTGTAGTTATAGTATAGATTAATCTAGGAATACTTAATATTGGAGCTAATTTGCACATTATGGAGGGAAAGGCATATCGTATTCTTTTAGATATAGACTAGTTACATATCGCATTACGTCGTGGTCAAACAACCGTTAAATATATAAGGTTAACGATTTGTATGGTGTAATGCGAATAAAAGTTTTATTTTTTGTGATTAATTTAAATCGGATCTATATATTGAGGGAAATCGTTTGATTTATATATATATTTATTAATAAAATATTTAATAATATTAGCATAAAAATTTATATTCAAATAATTAGAAAGTTCTTTCAAAACATTATCCAACTTATTTTATTTAAAAAATTTAGAATATGAAAAAAATAAATAACAAATAATTGGTATTATGTGTACAAATATACGATTAACATATTCAAAGATAAAAAAATCTACAAAAGAAAAACCACCAAAATTGTATGAAATATAATGAAGTCAATAGATTAAAATAAAAACTATATAAAAAAAAATTGGTTATGATAAATTCTGAATAAATATATATATAAAAGCATAGTATATAGATTAAATAGAAAAATATACGAAAAAAATCAACCTAAATTGTATGAAATATATTGAAGTCGATAGATTAAAATAAAAACTACAACAAAATTGGTTCTGCTAAATTTAAAAAATATATATATATAAAAAGCAAATAAAACTTGTGATTTTTTAATTGATTATTATTTAAAAAAAATTGAGCCAAACTATCTAAAACATACTTTTAGCTCTCTCTCTCTCTCTCTCTCTCTCTCTCTCTCTCTCTCTCTCTCTCTCTCTCTCTCTCTCTCATATATATATATATATATATATATATATATCGAATTTATAAATTATAATAATATATTTTTAAAAAATAAAACATCGACGTTCTAAAATCTTATTCCAAAATTCATATATTAAAAAATCAAATTTATTAAAAAATAAAATTATATCAAAAAATTAATTCGATGAGAATTTTAATTAGAAACAAATAATTAAAGAAATAAATTTTAAACAATAAGAGTAATATGATCAAATATATATGTTTAAACTAAAATCTTAAAAAATATCATATGTATTCTATTATCTTCAAATTATACGTAGAACTAAAAAAAATAACGATTTATTTTTTATATTTTTCACACTTAATTTTATAATAATACACACACACACGCACACATATACATGAAGAAAAAAAATTAAAAAAGAGGGCCAGGCGTGAGCTGCCAAAGAAAAGAGGGCTAGGTGAAGCGGGCCGAAGCGCTAGCACCATAGGCCGTTAAACCTAGAGCTAAAAAAATAAAAAATAAAAAATAAAAAAAATTACTACAGTAAATAAATAGTAACAATCCTAGATCTTTTATATTTTTTTGTA